TAGGAGCTCTGGTAGCGTAGTGCCTAAGGCACTTGACTGCTAACCAGAAGGTTGGCAGTTCAAACCCACCAGCCACTCCTGGGAAGGAAGATTGGGCAATGTACTTCCGTAGTGATACTGCCTCAGAAACCCAAGGAGGGGTCACTATGAGTTGAGTCCGACTCAACGGCACATAACAACAACAACATCCCAAGTTTTATCTCTATTTTTATCTTAAAAGACACTCAATATTCAGAAGAATGATCCTAAGCGTCTCCCAGATTCTCAATCCTCAGAGGAAGATTCTAGCTTTGTGTTTACTTAGGCAGGAGCAGTCAGAAAGTTGGAATTGTATTGTAGGTAAACTCTGTATGTGTACAAGAGCTACACAAAGAGGATCCCTCCTCTGTAATTACCGATTGTCGTCCACGCTTCCAGAAAAACGCCAGTTGGCAGGACTGAGAATCCCTGTTGGACTCTCCTCTCTGAATATACAAATGCATCCAAAATAATCACAGAGCCATTATTTACTCAAGCTGCAGCTGTTTATAAAAAACACTCTAACATTCTTTCTTCCTTACTAGAGATAAAAAAGGGGCCGTCAAACATTACCATGTGCACACAAATGCGGAGAACAAATTGTACCTGGCAGAAAACTACTGTTTTGATTCCATTCCAGCGCTTATTCACTATCATCAACACAATTCAGCAGGTAATTCATTTCAGATTTTCTGCTATGGGACCTTGTCGATAAATATCAATTTTCTGGTATATTACAATCCTCCTAATGGACTTAATTATATGGGGAGTCATGAAAGGAAGAAAAAAATTGCTTTCCAGCTCTACGCCTGCTGTGAGTCTTAACTCGCATTTTCCGGAATATAGCATTATAGACTCTACATCACCAACAAGACTGGAGCAGAATGATGTGAGGGACTTAGAAGCAGAAATGCTCTTTTTAAAAATATTTGTTCTCTTTTTTCTTTTATGGAAGTCAGTTCATTGTAAAATTCAAACAGTGTAGAAATATTTATTATTAGTGAGATAACCCCATGGACAATTTGGTGTCTATTCTGTCAGATTTTTTTCTATGCTGATACTACCATTTAGTATTTATATATATAATTTTTAAAATTTTTATGTATATTCACTGTAATTTTTACAGAGATGAGATCATTCTACATATATTGCTTTTCGGCTTGCTTTCTTCACTAAACATGTCTTAGAGCTCTTTTCACACAAATGTACCTAGTTTACAACCAGTTTCGGTCAAGGTGATTCCAACTCTTGGTGACTCTATGTGTGTCACAGAACTGTGCTCCATAAGGCTTGCAATGGCTGATTTTTCAGAACCAGGCCTGTCTTCTAAGGCACCACTAGGTGGACGTCAACCTCCAACCGTCCAGTTAGCAGCTGAGCACGTTAACCATTGCGCCACCTAGGGACTCCATGATATAAATCGATGTCTCCAAAACAGAATGATTACAATCTGAGAATACACAAGAAATGCCACTGGAGCATAAAAAACCCCACTGTCATCAAGTCGATTCCAACTCATAGCAACCCTACAGGACAGAGTAGAACTGCCCCACAGGGTTTCCAAGGCTATAATCTTTATGAAAGCACACTGCTTTGTCTTTCTCCCATGGGGTAGCTGGTGGGTTCCAACCATTGACCTTTTGGTTAGCAGCTGAATGCTTTAACCACTGCGCCACAAGAGCTCCTCATTGAGGTATAAGGAGAAGCTATTAAAATATATATTTAGATTTGTTTATTTAATCTCATTCTTTTAAATTTTCTGTGTATATTTGCAACACACAATATGGCAGTGCTTGTACATATATACAGATTTTGGAGGAGTATATTTCTTTTTTCCAATTAAAGGTAAATGATTTAAAAAGTTTGGCAGTCACACATGAAAAACTCAAAACTCACTGCCATCAAGTTGATTCTGACTTATGGTGAACCTGTAGGACAAAGTACAAGTGCCCCATAGGGTTTCCAAAGCTGTTGATCTTTACGGAAGCAGACTATCTCATTTTTCTCCCACAAAGCGGTTGGTGGGTGTGAACCACCAGACTTTTGGGTAGCAACCCAGAGGTTTAACACAGCGCCACCAGAGCTCCTCACTCATAAAAAGTGTAGAAATACATAGAAGAAGGAAGTAGAGAGGAAGGACATGGGTGATATCTCCCACGATCTGGAAAAATGCCCAAGTTTAAAGCAAGAATATACATTTTAATGGGTTATTTCCAGTTAGGGGCTCTGGTGGCATAGTGCCTAAGGCATTTGACTGCTAACCAGAAGGCTGGCAGTTCAAATCCACCAGCCACTCCTTGGAAGGAAGG